TTTTGAATTTGTTAAATGTGTGGGAAATAGGATTTGAATGCATGCTAATCGGTAGTGTTGGGCTGCAATGTAAAATTAACGAGTGCGAATAAGGGGTATGAAGTTGGGGTATATAATATCACCTTTGCCTTTTTTTTTAGCTCATATACATGACATTCTATTATTATAAGATTAMACAATTTTCTAACGCTTATAAAAAAAAATTGTGTCTACCTGTGTATCTTCAATATTTTTCAACTACTATTGTAACAATTCTTTGAAAGTTGGGTGGTGTACTGGTGTATATAGCTTATTTATTCAAACACTATAGGTAGGTAGTTAAAGAGTAGCTCATATACATACATTTTTTTCCAGTGCACGATTTGTTTATAAATATTTGTCATAGGTAACAATGTAACATATTATATTACGATCGTAATTATTTGAAATATGGCACACACATTTTTTTACCATTTTGTTAAAAAAAAAATTAACACAGTAAAAATAAAGCTGAGCAAGACAACTATATAGTTTTTTAACATATATATATATTTAAAGACAATACTAGTAAAATTCTTGTGATTTTTTTGTATTACCTAAATAGTGCCTTGAGATTAAAGACTAGCTTCTTCAATTTTTCCAATAAGAAACCCCCATGTTTTTGTGAATTTTTATCGAATTCAAAATTCAATCGAGTAATGGGGTTTCAGAGGTAATAACTAKTATGGACAATAACAATCACAATTTTTAGTAATTTATATTAATCTATAAATATTTTTTATAATTCATGAAAATGGAATATGTATAATAAATACTAGATCCCTTTTTTAATCCTTCACTCTCAAAATACCAATTAGAAACCACACTTAAAGTTGTAGATTGAAGGATTTTAATATTATAAATCACACACACCATCATTGCCAAATATATTTTCATATAAATTCTATATCATTACACTTAGAATTAAATAAATTAAAATTGAAACATCTCTCATTCATATTTCAGTAAATTTTAATTTTAAAGCTCTGATTGTTATTTCAAAAATAATTTGCTAATCAAAAAAATACATAATATATAATAGTATCAAAAATAGGTGTTATAGTATTTAAAAAAAGAATATTGGTATAATATATATTTTAATATATTAATTTATATACAAAACAATTTGATTATAYTTGTTATATTATATTGTTAAATTATTCAATGAAGTTATAAAAAATATGTAAATGATGGTATATACAAGAAAATATGGACTTTCGAAATAATTCAGGACAAATTAGACAGATTGCCTAAAAGGCTAAAACGTCTAAAACAACCTGGTTTTCAGATTTTTTACATTGGCTGTAGTTGGGATGGGGTTTTATATTTTAATACTCGACGTATTATGTAGTATWAAGAGATATGACGTGATATAATATTATAAATTTTAATATTTATATTCTTCCATAGACATTTCTGAAGTCTTGAGTTTTGTTATGTTGCTAACCGAGGAAAGATCATCAAGTTTGCTATCACATCTGAATATCATATTGACTATAACATTATAATATACATAATTATAATTTAGAAACGTCCATAACTAGCTAATTACTATAAAAGCTACTAACAATTATTTTCCTACATAATTTGTTCTTTGAAACAAAAGAATAACGTACAAAATGGACATTATACATTATTATAAAAAAAAAAAATGTTTGGTAACAGGTTATAATATTTAATCAGTATATTATTATGATTTATAGTAATATAATACATATATCACGACATGGATTTACAGTTTTATATACGAGTATTGTTCACAGCGTGTCAACGTTATACCTGCACTTGTTAAAACACTTGACACAGACAAACCGTACGAATCACTTCAGTTTTAAATAAACAATATTTTAATTTGAAGAACCATAATATAATTTAAATGAAACTAAATTGTTCTTAACATAAACTAGTACGGCAATAAATTATGTTTTAGATACAGCCATACAGGTGTGTCGATATTCTGTCTTAAAAACTATTTTGTTTGATACGTCGAAAGCTATATTATATTTACAATAAATATTGAATATGTATAATCTTTTTACATGGATAATATTATATTAGGTATATCTTAGTATCTTACTAAAGCCGGTTTATTGTAAATACCGAATGTAAAATTGTACCTTAGTAAAAATTTTCCCTTCAACATTTATTTTCAAATATACTCTTACTGCTTTTATTTCCTCTCGCCTCATTACATTATCAAACAATCTCAATCTAGTTTCTCTCATTGTGTCTACTATCGACGCTAGACCAATACTACCTCTTACATATTCGTTTCTTATTCTATCTTCTCTTGTCACTCCACTCATCCATCTAAGCATTATCATTTACGCGACACTGTTCTATCTKTCTGTCATCAGACCACCACTGCAAACTATACAATATAATTGGTCTCACTAAACTCTTGTAAAATTTACCTTTCAGCCTCATTAGAATTTCTTAATCACATAACACGCCTGACGCTTCTCTTCATTTATCCACCTGCACTTAATCCTATGTTTAACATCTATGCTAAGCCCCGCACTTTTGTACAGACAATCCAAAATATTCAAAGCTTTMGAATTCACCTATCATATCCTAGCCTATTGTCATTGGTATCCTCATTCCTTCAACTTCTTGGCCTCTTCTTATAAATTCATAGTATTATATATTCTGTTTTATTTCCACTAATCCTCATACCTTTCCTTTAAGGACTAACCTCCACTCATCCAACCTAGCTATTATTAATATTTTCTCTTCCACCAAAACTATATTATCAGCAAATAACATACATCATGGTATCTCCTCCTAWGTTTCTTTAATAACTTAATCCATTACCACAGATAACAGGTTGGGGCTTAGAGCTAACCTCTGATGCACCTACGTTAAAATCTTCTGTAACTCCATACAAACTCTTGACACTAATACTCGATCCTTCATACACATCTTTAATCAAAATTATATACAATTTTGGGACATCTTTTTTCGTTAATGCCCACTTTAAAACTTCTATTCACTCTCTATCATACGCTTTTTCTAAATCTATAAGAACCATGCATACCTTTTTATTCTTTTCCCTATACTTCTGAGACTTCTCTTCTAGTTGTCTTACACAAAATAATGGTTYCAATGTCGATTTTCTTGACATAAAGCCAAACTGATTTTCTGATTATAATGTCTCACTAATTCTCATTGTCTTTTCTATGATCTTTTCCCAAATCTTCATGCCATGACTCATTAGCTTTATTATTCTATAGTTCACACATTCTACTAAGTCTCCTTTTCCTTCAAATACCTATTGGTACAATAAAACTATTTCTCCAATCTTCTGGCATTTCCCCTCTATTAGTACCTTATTAAAAGGATCTTTCAACAATTCAATACTTACATTCTCTAAAATTTTAAACGCCTCTTCAGGTACTCCATCTAGTCTTGCCGCTTTTTCTTTCATCGCCGTCGCCGCAACTTATTCACTGACTAGACCAATCAATCCTTACTTTCATGAAATCCTCTTCAAAGTTTCTTTTTGGTACTTCTCGTTCAGTAATCTCTCAAAACATTCTTTTCATATCTTTTTCACGTTGTTATCTTTTGTTAAAAACCTATTTTCCTTATTTTTTATATAACAAATATTTTGAAAGTTCCTAAATCACTTTTCTCTCACCTTAGCTAGTAAATAAATTTATTTTTCTCCTKCCTGTGTTCCTAGCCCTGGGCTGACGCCTCTCACTGCCTACGTGTCCATTCAAATCACCACTAATCACAGCATCTTCATTTTCTGATATTCCTTGCACCACCTAATCTATCTCTCACCAAAACTCTTCCTTTTCTCTTTCTTCATATCCTACTTGTGGTGCATACTCACTTAATCCGTTTAATACTTTCTCCTCACATACCAAATTAATCGTAATAATTCTATTACTTTTCCTCACTATATCGACTACCTTAGTTTTCAGTTCCTCGTCCAATATCACTCCAACAACATTTCTAATACTATAGTCTTACTTGAATATATTATCTTATAC